GCCCGAAGAGAGAGTAACAGAAGCGCTATCAGTAACACATACAGAGGAATTTCACAGTAGAGATGAAATATAACACTAATATAAGAAAAACATAAAATGAAATAATGCAGTATACAGAAGTAGAAATATAGAGAAAATTAATATTAAAACATATTTAATTGTTTTAATTAATGTACAGATGTTATTTAGTGAGGAGCTCCCTGATCTCTGCTTCATTACAGTTTGCACATATTTTTTCGTCGCGAACGTTGATCTGCCTTCAAAACACCTGGTAAAAGAGTCGCACGATAACATGCGTCATCACTACGACACACCCTTTACGGCATTGGTTCTGGCTTTTGTTCACACAGAGCTCGTTCCGGAACTGAACCCGGCAATGTTACTAGGTCCCCAACCCGGGATCGATCTAGGGATCAATCCCGGGACGTGCCAGAAGGCACTCCAACAATTTTCCGGGACCAACGTGCAGTGTGAAAGGGGTTTAATGCATTCATTCATTTTGAAGCGTGTTGAGGGCCCATGCAGTCTGTGATGCAGGTCAGATACACATCATGCAGAGCAGTTGTGCACAACATTAGGGGAAGTTAATGAATTCTTTGACTGTGCATTAGAGTCAGTGACTCTTCAAGAGTGAGCCAGCCTAAACTCTTTGCCTTATCAGAGCTGGAGATCAATCCTCATTAGCATACTGCTCCCTAGCAACCAGAACATGAACAGGACATCTGTTGTTCTGTAATCGCTCTCTGTCAAACAAAGCAGAAGAACAACAGATTATCTCATTACCTGTCCTTCTGCTCACCTTTTGACCTGTCTCATAAAGGTCACTCAGTGTTGATTCATCCTAGTGACTTGATTTTGGAATCTGTTAACCAAAAACATGAATCATTATGCCACTAGGTGGACTAGCAGGTGAATTATAACAGGTGGATTATGGGATATATATTTTTTCCATTTATTAACATATTCATTCTAAAACACTATAACTGAACGAAATAAAGTGGATATTATTAATATATTGATTTATTTTATTGGTTTATAAAGCACTACAAAAATTCGAACCTTCTATTACTGAATGTTTGTCAAGATGAGGTTTCGGATCTTCTAGTGTGGGTCATTTGGTACACTACAGTGAATCTTAAGCAATTCAGTGGTGCTTCTTTTAGACACTATGCCCAAACAATTGAAGTTAGACAGGCTTCAAGCATTCATATTTTTAAAAAGCAAGTTAAGATTAAGGTACTTATATTGATATCAATATTTATTGATCTTGATATTGTGTAAAACCCCATTGTCAGTGTTCTGTGTTTTTATGTTTGTAATTTACCTTGTGAAGCCCTTTGAGCTGTTTATGTATGAAAAGTGCTATAAAAGAAAGTTTTATTATTAATATTACTCATATTTTTAATTCATGTATAAACTAAAACAATGATTACTGCGAATGTAAAAAAACAAATAGATTCTCCTTCTCTTAAGGATCCACCTACATTTATATTGTTTGTCTTTCACAGGTTTTGACAGCTCTGTGGGCAATAATTGGGAAACATCTCTGGGAAAGACAAATGTATTTATGAATTAAATGCAATTCAGTCATCATTTCTGTTTAATAGCTTCAACAAAGCAAAACTAAACTCTTTTCAAACTATCCCTAATTGGAAATCTCTGTACTGAGAGATTTGAGAAATGGTGTGCAAGTACCATAAGCATCTTCTACGCAAATCAGTTAGCCTCCATTAAAAGCATTTTCAATAGGCTACTCTGTTTTCGTCATTTTTATTGTGTATTGACATCATTCATTCATTTATCCACAACCACATTGAGGATTGTGTGCACAAGTAAATCTGGTCTTCAGTGCACTTTCTTTTGTCTCCTTGCTGAACTGAATGTACAACATGCCTCCTTTATTTCAGTCATTGTCTGTCAACAAACCGTTACTCATTGGTAAAATTAGCTTCATACTGGAAAACCTCTTATGTTGCTGAGCTTCCATCATGGTACTGAAAAATGTTAGTTAGTTAGTTCACTAGCATCGCTCCCCAGGACTGCATGGAAGTGAGCAAGAACGATTCATTCACTTCATTCATATCAGAGTACAGCGAAGCAAACTCATCCATCTTTACAGTGATCCAGTTTCATTTATCTTCAATGCAGTGTTGAGGTAAATATGAACGTCATCCTGACCATTCTCACAGGTCAGAATACAAGACGCCATTTATTTACTTGCGAGCCACGTTTTGTAAGTCATTACTACAGTCCGTTGTGGTGCATGCTGGCTGGGATGTTATCAGTCTCATTTCGTGGGCAGGTTGAGGAATGGTGTTGTTAGCTAAAGGGCCGCCTGAAGGTTAGTGTTCATATTGATGGATGAAGAAGGGATTTAGCTTATTTCTGTAGCGTTACCCTCACACCATGGAAGAAATACCAACAAGTCAAGCGTAGGGAAATGACCCAGCCTCACAAACTGTTCATTATAAAATAAAACCTGAAGGAAATTACGGTCCTATCTCCTTTCTCAAAGCTCTTTGTTAAATTCACTCTTGTGTCCTTTTTCCTCTTTTCCACGCTCCCTCCCTGGGGTTCAGGTGCTTCTATTAGCTTACTTCATTAAGTGGAGGCTGATTGTCTTTTCCTATGGGACCTTTTTGTGATATATGCAATAAGGCTGAGTGAGGGATTGTGGGAAACCAGTGATTAACTGTGGATATTCAGAGGGGCACTGTTGGTTCAGAAGCCGTTGCTTTCTCAGGCTTGCTACAGAAACTCTCGACAATGGAAACTTTTAAAGGGGTCATATGATGCGATTTCAATTTTTCCTTTCTCTTTGGAGTGTTACAAGCTCTTGGTGCATAAAGAAGATCTGTAAAAACCACAGCTCAGAATGGACCCTCAACACAGCTGCAAGAGAGCAGCCTGACCCACACACACACACATACACACACACACACCTATGGCCAAATATACACCATGCAAATGTAAAATTGCATATATTGTTAAACATATTGCAAATAACATACATGGAAGCTATTGCAAAAATGAAATAAATTTTGTTTTTCCACTATATACCATTTTTCTTGAGGTATTCGGCCAATCACAACGCATTGGATAGCTGGCCAATCAGAGCACACCTCGCTTTTCAGACCGATTAGTTTTGTAAAAATCGACGCGTTTCAAAAAGGCGGGGCATAGAGGAGAAACAATAATGTACAGTATGTGGAAAATAATGTGTTTTTTTTACTTTAAACCGCATAAACACATTTCATTACACCAAATACATAAAATAATGTTCTTTTTAGCAGCATCATATGACCCCTTTAAATCTGAGAAAGAATTGTTACTCATCTATCATGCAGTGTTGTCATCCCACGCACCATTTTCCATTACAGCCACTAGATAACTTATCACAAATGTGCTATGAAATATGAGGCTTTTCTTGGCTCGCTTCATTTCAAAGCAGATGTTTCTGAGGGCGCTCTCTTACAAGCAAGTCTCCTACAGCAGTGCACTAAACTGGTAATTAGCTTTGTTTACACTCTGAAGAAGCTTTTCTCTATTTATCCTCCTCTTCCTTCTTTGAGAATGATTGATAATAGAGATACTTTTCACATCATTAAAGAAATAGTTCACCTTAAAATGAATATTATTTACTTGCCGTTGTGTTGTTGCAAACCTGTATAACTGATTTTCTTCTGTGGATCCGTGTTTGTATTTATTTATTTAGATTATTATTTTTTATGAATTTCCTGGCCAATCTTTTTAATATAATGAAAGTAAATGAAGACTGAGGCTTTAAATAAGCCACAAAAGTCAAGTTTTCAGTGATTAATGGCTTAAATTTAGGTCTGTTCCTTACACAAAGTTATCAAATGGCTTAAAAGGACTCAGAATATACTAATATGTACTAATTTGATGATAGTTTTTGTGTACTTTTTGAAGCTCGACGGCTTCAGTTCTCTTTCATTGTCACTGCATAGTTTGACCATTTTATTAAGGGAAATTTCTCCTTTTGTGTTCCACGGAGGAAAGAAATTCAAAGGGGTGTGGAATGGCGTAAACAAGATGAGTGAACCTTTCCTTTAGGAATATAATAATAATACTGCCGTTTGCATTTGTCAGTACTGTTTGTATTCCTGTCACCACATTCGTATTCAGCTGGAAACCATAAGTAACATTACAGAGCTAAATGTGTTAACACACATGGTTCAATCAACAACAAATACAGATAAATGTATCATAGTATTTGCCTGTTCTTTAAAGTGAGATATGTTTATGCAATAAATGTATGTACTAGATTTATAATTTTTATACTTTTTTCTTTTTTTTGGAGGTACTTCTTTTGGGCATCTGTGATGTCTGATTTGTGAACTAACTGTTCTTTTGAACTTCTGGTTCATTTTAATGATTTGGTTGAACCGATTCTCAACATACTTGTAAATCACTTGTTAGGGAGAAATTAAGGTGTAAAACTAATTAAGATGTAAAACTAAGTTAATTGTTGTATTTAAATCATAAATGCATATATCATAAATAAATCCATGCATCATAAAGCGATTGTATCGGATTTCTAATCAGGCACCAAACAGAGTACCCATAACTTTTTAAACAAGTTTAAAAGTTTGCACAATGAGTGCTGCATTTTTAAGATGGCATGTGAAGTTGAAAACATCTTTTTTTCTTTTCTTTTTCTTTTTTGGATGCTTGAATGCATCCTGTGAATGTTAAGAAACATATCTAATTTGAGTCTGGTGGACCCTAATTAGACATGTTTTCCTTAAGATCAGCTAGTCAACTAGTCATTCATACCACCCACCAACAAATGCATTATGAAAATATGCAGTTTTACCCATCTGTAGGATAGATGAAAGATTACTCATTCTTGTTCGGAATGAATAATGCTCCTTTTTCTCCCAGTTAATTGGTCCTTCTGCGTGTGGTTGCCATTATGCATATGAGCATTTACAAATCCTTTAAAATCCATTTACAAATCTCTCTTTTTTTCTCTCCAGTTTGTGGCGCAGCCAAACTGTCAGCAGCTCTTGGCCACACAGTGGTATGACGGCTTTCCTGGCTGGCGGCGCCGTCACTGGGCAGTTAAGCTGGTCATGTGCTTCATTATCGGCCTGCTCTTCCCTGTCTTCTCGCTGGTCTACCTGCTGGCTCCAAAAAGCACGCTGGGGCTCTTCATCAAAAAACCCTTCATCAAATTTATTTGCCACACAGCCTCCTACCTCACCTTCCTCTTCCTCCTCCTTCTGGCTTCACAGCACATAGCACGCACCAACCTACACATACAGGGCCCTCCACCCACTGAGGTGGAGTGGATGATACTACCTTGGGTGCTAGGTGAGTATGACAGTGTGTGTGATGGGGATAGCTTGTATAAATTTGTTACATAGTAATGATGTAGTTATGATATTGCATATAGTGTGTGCAAGTCAACACTGTAGTAATATTCCTCAAATATTCTGGTCAGGGATTTTTACTTATCTGTTAACCTTAACCCTAAGTAATAAAGTTCTGCAATTAGTTAAGCCTGAACCACTTAACATACAATTATCTCAACTTTGTGGATTATTTCCGGCTTTGGTGTGATATTTATTGTAGTGTTTTAACACTTTTATTTGGACATTTAAGATAAGTTTAAAGGGTTAGTTCACCCAAAAAAAGAAAATTCTGTCATTAATTACTCCCCCTCATGTCGTTCCACACTCCTAAGACCTTCGTTCATCTTCAGAACACAAATTAAGATATTTTTGATCGAATCCGATGGCTCAGAGAGGCCTCCATTGACAGCAACGCCACCCAAACTCTCAAGATCCATAAAGGTACTAAAGACGTCATTAAAACAGTCGACGTGACTACAGTGGTTCTACAATAATTTTATGAAGCGATGAGAATACATTTTGTGTGCAAAAACAAAACAAAAATAACTACTTTATTCAACAACCTCTTCTCTTCTGTGTCATTCTCATACGTTGTTTACGTCCAGCGCTTCCAGGTTCTACGTCAGAACGCCGGCTCATTATTGGACAGCTCCTGCATCAGCATCACACGCATGCGTCGCGCTGCTCACATGTGCAGCTTTGGCCAATAATGAGCCGGCGTTCAGTAGAACACGGAAGCCTTCACTGTGCTTACTGTGTTAACCGCGTAAGGATAATGACAGGTAAGAGAAGAGATTGCTGAATAAAGTTATTATTTTAGTTTTGTTTTCTGTCAATGGAGGCCTCTCTGAGCCATCGGATTTGATCAAAAATATCTTAATTTGTGTTCTGAAGATGAACAAAGGTCTTAGGGGTGTGGAACGACACGAGGTTGAGTAATTAATGACAGAATTTTCATTTTTGGGTGAACTAACCCTTTAAGATAAATTTCACATTGTCTTACATTGACTCACACTGATTAATAGAATTAAGAACTAAATTAAAATTAAATAAAACACTAAAAACTAAAATAAATATACATGTGAATATACAAGTTTTGATTTCAATGTTTGGGAAATAAACATCTACAATTAATAATGCAATATCATCCAATATATATTCAATTAAATCAACCGAAATGATAAATTTAAAATATTTTCCAATCACTATATTGTACATCCCAAGTTAATGACTACACATTTGTGTGTTTTGCTCATAGGCTTTATTTGGGCTGAGATTAAGGAGATGTGGGATGGAGGTTTTAATGTGTACGTCCATGACTGGTGGAACCTGATGGACTTTGCCATGAATTCTCTCTATTTGGCCACAATATCTCTAAAGATCGTCGCGTATGTCAAGGTGAGCTCCTCCTGTAAATGTTTCACTGTCGATTCAGTCATTCACACTCACACTCAAATGCACGCGAGCACATGCACGCAGACACAATCCAGACTTCATGACCATCTGCAGCTGTGTTAGTCACCCTGCATGGAAGGGGTTTCAGCCCACACGAGTCCCTTACAGCGTGTGTTTGTCTCTGTGTGTGTGTGTGTGTGTGTGTGTGTGTGTGTGTGTGTGTGTGTGTGATGATAAATGGTCCAAGCCATATAATTTATGTTCTGTTTTGTGTTTGGACATGTTCTCAAGAATTACATTTACAAGCCATAAATGTTTGTGTGAATGTTCGTGTCTATGTGTATTAGTATTTTATAGTATGATTTCAAAACGTGGGAATTCACTGTAAAAAAAAAAAAAGTTAATTAAAAAGATTTTTTACAATTGTAAATAAAACAAAGAGTATCTTTTACAAGAAAATGGTATTTTGTTTTTTCTACTTTTTACACTTTTTTCAGTGTTACTTTCTTTTTTTCTTTGTAATTGTTTGTGAAATTTTCTAACAATTTCTGAGTAAAAATTTTTATTTTTTACTTTTTTTCAGTGTAGAGGGTGAATTTATTAAACAGTTAATATTGTGGTCTTAGTCCCAGTAGAGAACAGAATTTAAAGCAAGAAGAGCTCAGCCATGCCTGGCACTGAAATCCAGCCTTATTTCTCTGCCCACTGAAACATGGAATTGAGGGATGGTGCTGAGGGGAGAAGGCATCTCGTTCCCCCCTCAAGTGAAGTTATGCAAGGCAAAAGCTCAGGAAATGTCTTAAGAACCTGTTAGAACTTTGACTCAACTGCCTGGAATAAGGCATATCCAGAACAAAAAATAATGGAAGAACTTCCCCATGCTATAGCTTCCTCATTCGGCATCTTTTCCATTATTATTATTATTTTATTTTTATTTTTTTGCATCTGTTGTCTGTATTGTTACAGCACTTGATTCACTCAAGGAATTATGCAGATTAGGTAATGGTGCAAACACACCCACAAAATTAGTGTTAATTGCAATTTGCATTGCAATTTTTATTGCACCACTGCAATCCAGGCATTTGAATCGACTCTTTAAAATGGCAAAATTGTGCTTGACTACACAGCACATCTGTATACATGACAGATATCAAACTCTTTTCCATCTTTTGATCATCATTTGATGAATTACTGCTGCCATGATCACTGGAAAATGTACACAAACATTCCTTTTAAATACAATTACCGTCATCTTCTGTGGTAATAGCACAGTGTTAACTGCATCAGGCAAATAAGCCAATCCATTCACGTATATGAATCCGATCCATTGAGCCACATTTGCATAAAAAGGAGGCTTATTTGCCCAGAAACAAATGACAGTGACTTGGCAATGAATTTAAATATGCATGATGGAGCGCTATACCAGTGCATTTAGCACCTGGTTATGTTGGACTGTGGGTGTTAAAGTACGTGAATAAGGCTAAAAATGGACTCTACACAAATGTGCAAATAGCCAACTATCTGTAAGTATGGTCCCACTGTACATACACTAATGATTAAAAATGTATAAAATAAGTAGCACTACCGTTTTCAACACTGATAATCATAAGAATTGTTTCTTGAGCAGCAAATCCGTATATTAGAATGATTTCTGAAGGATCATGTGAAATTGAAGACTGGAGTAATGATGCTGAACATTCAGTTTTGCCACCACAGGATAAACTTTTAGTTTATTATAGTAATAATAAACTAAACATACATAGTAATTTTTACTATTTTTGAATAAATAAATGCATCCTTGGTGAGCATAATGCCGAGTTCACACTGCATGATTTTCAAACTCGTCGGAACGAGCACCGATTTGCCTCCGATTTCGGGCATTTGTCGGCGATTTCGCAAAACCTGTCGGCGAGTGAAAAATCGGGCTAAAATCGTGCAGTGTGAACTCGGCATAAAAGTCTTGCACTACTATTGCATTGTTTGCATAACTAGAAGCAATTGTGTGTAGCATACTTGTGTAAAGTACATTTTAAACTTAAGACACAGGGTTTTGCACTTATTTCAAGGCACTAAATGGGAACAACATAGAGTTCTAACAATGAAACTAAATGATAAATAATGAATAATATTTCTGAATGTTTTTTATTTCCTCTCCAGTATAACAGTTCTCGTCCACGAGAGGAATGGGAGATGTGGCATCCGACACTGATCGCTGAGGCTTTATTTGCCATTGCTAACATCTTCAGCTCACTTCGGCTCATCTCCCTCTTCACGGCCAACTCTCACCTTGGCCCGCTGCAGATTTCTCTTGGCCGCATGCTGCTGGATATCCTCAAGTTCCTCTTCATCTACTGTCTAGTGCTGCTGGCCTTCGCTAATGGACTCAACCAGCTTTACTTTTACTACGAGACCGAGGCGGCAGATGAACCCAGCCACTGCAAGGGGATCCGCTGCGAGAAACAGAACAATGCATTCTCTACGTAAGTTTATTACTTATCTATCATATTATGTTATATATTTAGAAAGCTATTGGAGGCCTTTTTTAAATAGTTTAAATATAGAGTGTTTCATTGATGATGTGTTTTTGTAGGCCAACCCTGAAGTTGGCATCACCCTGGTTTCTGGTTCCCAAAAGGATTGTTCCATTTATTTTTGGATTATTGCAGAAAAAAACAGCTGTGACCAACTAAAGTTTGAGTTAAAATAGTTAGCAAATATGCAATTATAAACACAAAAATGCTGTACAAGTAGACTAGTGAGTAGATGAGTTTACTTGTTCTTGTGTAATGATGTTTAATGTCCTCAACAACCTCTGTAGTTCAGTTTAGCCGCTTGTAAACAGCCACCAAGGTAAAAACTTAAAAAAAAAAACTAAAAAAAAACAGGAAGGTTACTGATGTATTTTAAGTTAGAATAATAAAACGTGAAAATATCTTGAGCTTGTGTTAAGCACAGACCTTATTTCAGGCATTTAACCAAAAACCCATTTAAAATTTTGGATTATTGCAGAAAAAAACAGCTGTGACCAACTAAAGTTTGAGTTAAAATAGTTAGCAAATATGCAATTATAAACACAAAAATGCTGTACAAGTAGACTAGTGAGTAGATGAGTTTACTTGTTCTTGTGTAATGATGTTTAATGTCCTCAACAACCTCTGTAGTTCAGTTTAGCCGCTTGTTAACAGCCACCAAGGTAAAAACTTTAAAAAAAAAAACAAAAAAAAAACAGGAAGGTTACTGATGTATTTTAAGTTAGAATAATAAAACGTGAAAATATCTTGAGCTTGTGTTAAGCACAGACCTTATTTCAGGCATTTAACCAAAAACCCATTTTAAAAAAAAGCATTGACTTTAGGGTGATGAAACGGGAAGTGCTAAATGCTAACTCATTTACATCATCCCTTACAACGTACATTCATCCTTTCCTGCACTGCAGCTCCAGGTCAGCCTCAGTCAATGCCTGATAGGGCAGCGCTGATGCTGCTTCTGAATATTTATCAAGACCTCTTGCTTTTCCAGTGATTTGTTGATCAACACGTCAATAACCACACAATCATCCAACACTGCACAATAATGCAGGTTCAAGAATCACCTCATGAATATTTATGAGAACAAATGTTGAGAAAGAAGAAAATAAATCTGTGCTGTGTCTCAGACTGCAAAACTGCAGCTGCTCTGTGAAATATAAACACCTGAAACATAAAAAACCTGATGTTGTTGAAACGTCTGGGGATTTTCTTGTATTTCCATCAGAATTCAGTTTATTTGCCTGCAGCTGCATATGAGCTGTATGTGGCATTACCACACCGAGATATCAAATCCCTTAACCCATATCACATCAGAAGCAGCACAAGCTCCTTCAGGCTTCCTGTGGTGTTTCTCTGAGGTTCAGTCACTGAAGCTCTCCGTCACAGATTAAAGTCTTTGACATTCATGTGGCTTGGGCCTTTCAAAAAGTCACAAAAAAAAACTATTTTTTTCTATTAGCTTCTTTTATTTCTTCTTCTTTTTTTAAAGCCTGTATTGGGAAAATATGTACCATTTAGATACTAATATTTACACTTTAGGTTCTAAAATGACCTTTTAAGGTTCTAATATGCAACCTTATTACATTTTGGGTACTGCCCCAGTGACAGTTTTCGTACCTTGTTTTATTTATTTATTTATTTATTTTAGAGAGAGCGTAGGTTAAGGAAAATAAACTTCAAAATATATTCTCTGAAAACAGGTATTCTCAAATAACTGAGAATTATATTTTACATTTAATATAATTGAATTTAAATAATTAAATATTTTATGTATCCTGCTTTTTTTTTTCAGTGCATAGAGGCAAAATAGATTTCTGAGGCCAGATTTTAAACACACCAGTACGCTCAGAATATATTCATGTCTTCTCTATATTATTTTGGCCTTTCAATTCGAAAGCTTCAAATGCCAAGTGTTGGCTGAAACGGCACTGCATGTGGAGGGCTGCTGGCTCTAGTGGGCTGCCAGTTGTTATGTCACTATCTTTGACAAGTCAGTGAGGTGCTTGAGGCAAACCTGTGTGCCTCCATTAGGGCTTCACCATGGCAGGTCTGTCACGGCAGTCCTGTGGTTAAAGTGCTGGCCACGCTTTATTTTTTATTAAAGGGGTCATATGATGCGATTTAAATTTTTCCTTTCTCTTTGGAGTGTTACAAGCTCTTGGTGCATAAAGAAGATCTGTAAAGTTGCAAAGACTAAAGTCTCGAATCCAAAGAGATATTCTTTATAAAAGTTAAGAGTCAGCCACGCCTACCTATAACGGCTCATTCAAACACGCCCCCACATGTCTACGTCACTATCTGGGAAGATTTGCATAATGCCGCCCAAATGTTCACGCAAAGAAAGAAGGTGTAACTTTTATTCTCGCTGTAGTATTGTTGCTGCTGCCGCCATGTCGTGAAGGCGCTGTGTGCTTCGTTGTGAAAGCGAAACTACTTTGTTTGGCCTTCCAAAAGAGGACGATATCGCTTCGTCATGCCTGGAGCTGATCCATGCTGGTATCTGAGGAAATACTTCAACTTCGCGCAGTGGATCGCCGGATCGGCTTTCACCGTAGACGAAGCGGAGTCCAGCCCCGGAGTCGTCACATGTCCTTCCGGACGCTCCTTCGTCAAAATCGCCGGCCGCGCCGTTCTCAAGCCC